AAAATAAGACACATAGGGAAACCTAGGTTAAATTTAATTATTTATGGTTATTGCATATTTTTCAAGATCACAAAATCATAAAATCTACTTCAAAGTGTTTAATAAGAAAATTTTCATTCATTCAACAAACATTTACTGAGTTCCTTCCATGTTCCAGGCTTATGACTATTGTAAAAAATGAAATTCCACTAATCTCTATTGTTTATACTCCAAATTTATGGAAATATTTGTAGTTTATTCCCTTTTTGACTCCTAACAGAGTATAGATGAATGCCTCTGTACTACTATCTTCTATGCCTTCTACTTTCTTCAACCCTGATTTGTATACAAATCCCTTACATCTATTTCCTAACTACCTACTGTCTGAAGCTGATTTCATTATTTTCTGCAAATCAGTCCCATCCATCAGTCCATTTCTATCAGTTCTACTGTTATGGGTTGAATCTGTCCTCCTAAAAAAGATACTTTGCAGCCCTCAGAATGTGACCTTATTTGGAAATATGATCTTTACAGAGGTAATCAAGTTAAAATGAGGTAATTGGGGTGGGCTTATAGATTTCTATGACTGTTGTCCTTATGGAAAGGGGAAATTTGGACACAGAGACAGACATGCACACAGGGAAAATGTCATGTGAACAGGAAGACAGAGATCGGGGTGATGCATCTTCAAGCCAAGGAATGCCAAAGATGGCCAGAAAACCACCAGAAGCTGGAGAGAGGTCTGGAACAGATTCTCCCTCAGAGCCCTCAGAAGGAACCAACCCTGCTAGAGCCTTGATCTCAGATTTCTAGCCTCCAGAACTGTGAGACGATAGATTTCTGTTGTTTAAGCAACTCAGTTTGTGGTTCTTATTATAGCAGCCCTAGCAAACTAATAAAATCACCAACCTTCCATTCTCCCAGATTAGAAAACCTAGGCTCATTCTGAATTCTTTCCTTTCTTCATCATTTATATTCAATCTAGCACAAAAGACTTTAGTTTATTCCCCCAAAATGACTCCTAGCATCTTTAATGTCATACTCTCTGTTACCTCTTTTTCTTCTATCAATCATTTTTCTCATTTCCTGTTGCCTTCACTAGTCCCAATCATCATCATTTTATATCTCAATTCCTATAAAAGTCTCTGGTTTGTCTCTATCAATCCAAACTTATCTCCTAAAATATACAATTCATGTTGCTTTTATCATACAAGTGCCATGGTTGAAAGACATGCTTATAGTGACATATTGCCTACTATGCTAAGTCTAAGCTTGGCATTCATGTCCCCTATGGTCTAGGCTCCTCTTGCCCATTCAATCTTTTATACCCCTAATCACATCATTCTTATTTCCCTCTTTGAGCCCTGCTCCTTCTCCCTCTCTGCATCAAGATGCTTTCTTACTTTGTTGCCTTTCATCCAAACCTGTTCATCTTTCAAGGCCTTGATCAATTTTCACTGACTGCGACTACTCTGGCCCACACTCTCTTGCCCTGGCTGCATTCTAATCAGTACCTTCCAGGTTAGCACCAAGTGGTATTTCTTACATTTTATGTATGTTTACATATATTACATCTTTATTTCTATCAACTGATAGGATATAATGCTTGTTAACTAACTGATCAAACTCCTAAAGTGGGAATAATGGGAGGTAGGAGGAGAGAAGGAAGGAGATTGGATACCAGTGGAAGAGAAAACTTTGGCTAGAACAGTGGAGAATTAGTCTAAGTCAATGTTTTCCAAATGTGCTCCCTGGACCACGATCATATAATTCATTTAGGATGGCTGATAAAATTTAGATTCCCAAACCCTATTACAGGCCTATTGAAGCAGACTCTATAGCACAGAAATCTGAATTTTAAAAGGTAACCCAATGATTCTTATATATATATATATATATATATATATATATATATATATATATATATACCAAATCTGAAAACCACCAATTTAAGTGAAGAAGGCAGAAGACAGATGCTGAAAGGGAACAGCTATCCTTATGTTTACTGGGTACATGTACTTTCCATCATGGTTAACAATAGAATGAAGTAGTTTCACACTATCATGATTTGCTTTGATGTGATTCTCCCTCTTCAACACATTGCTTTGAGCACAGCGGTCTTTTCTTCCATGGCAAGAGTATTTCCAGTTCTGAATCACAAATGTGGGCTAGCTACCATAGAGAATCTCACAGAACAGAAATTTTGTGGCACTTCAAGGAAAGGTAACAGACTGCTAGCTTTGACTCAGACTGGGAAGTATATTTAACCAAAAACATGCTATAGGCTCCTGAAATTCAAGTTTGGTAGCATGGAGAGAGAGAAAAAAAAAAAACTTTTGAGTTCTAGTTGCTTAAGCTTTTCATTGGAACCAAGCGATAACTAAAACATGTAGCTGATTTAGATAAAAACTGAGGACCTGCTCACCGGCTCACACTGAGCAGGATTTCTGCAGTTGAGTACTACAGACATGCAATAACAAAATTAGATACGATCAAGGGGAAGAAAAATGCACAGAAGTCCTTGAATTAAAATGAATTGAAACCTTCTGGGAGAAAAGCTATTTGGTAAGCTCCATTAAGTCCATTGTACATAGCTTTATTTGACAAAGCAGCATTCTGGCATGTGGAACAGGAAAGAAAATAGCTATAAGATGATCTGTCAGGGAGTTTCCAGTCTCTAAAGAAATAAGATTCTGTGCAGTAGCCAATACAGCTTTTAACTCAAAAGAGATACAGAAGCAAAATGCAATTATATAACCCTAGTAAGTACATTCAATCTGAATCTCCCATATACCCCTCTCCTCCCCCAATAATTCCTCAAACTCAGCAACTTATCAAGTGGATGCTCAAACTTACGGTTGCATTCATTTCAGGGTAACAGTGGATTTATACTGTATACAATACTGCAGATACTGAGGTGGAGACAATCCTACAAATCAAAGATTAATCAGCTATAAAATATCCTGGCTAAACACTTAAATAATTTGAATAGCTCAATTATTATTAAATTTTTTGTTTATCTTGGCTATAAGTTTATAGTATGTGTCTGCAGTTATTAGTTTGCTGTTCTGAAAATATTAACTATTCACTGATTACAAAGGGTTTATTTAATATATATGGAGGTTTATATGTTTAGGGATGTAACATATGGCAAAAATAGAGGAAATTCAGATGTAACAGCTAATGAATGCTTTTAAAAAATTCTGACTTGGTGATTTTCTTTCCTTAAGAGTTTTTGTTCATGGAGTGAAGATTCTGGGATCACTCAAGTGGCTAGAGCTGCTCACTTCAATATGCAAGTACAGGAACCAATAAATTTTGATTTGCATTATAATCAATCTGTTTTCTATCTGTCTCACACAGACACACAGACACTCACAGAGACATAGACACACAGACACACAGACACATACACACAGTGGGGGCAGTATACTACCATATCTCCAATGTCTAGCACAGGGCTGGGAATGTAATAGTTATTAAAGGAGTGAATGAATTCACTTAACCATTACAAAATCTTTGTTAGATAGTTTTTATAATGTATTTCTTATAAGTGTGGAAGCTGAGGCTCACTGAGGGAGAAGTCCTTTCTATGTCAAGAAAGGCAGAGCTTGGACTAGAACTCAGGTGTTCTAACTTTAGGTCCAGTGTCTTGTCCACTGTGCTTTACTGACTGCTAAGATTGTATAGAATGGTTTACCTGAAAACACTCATCTTTTAGCTGATGTTTTAATCTCTCCCATGGTAACCCCCCTCCAAGATGATTTGTTATGAAATTGAAGGGTGGTGTCTTATATTGTTCAACAGGTTTGCCATTTGAGTTCCACTGGGGACCCATACCATGGCTGTCGTCTCACAGTATTTTACTATACTAGGTAAAAGCAAAAGGCTTTACCCAGACAACTGTTTGTAGACCCCTATTTGGTTCCTAATAAACCTCCAGGTAACCACAATGGAAGGCAGCAGATAGGTAGACTCATATACTGTAGATATTTCCACTTAGTTTGTAGATTCTCTCTTTTCTTAAATAAATTTATTTATTTATTTATTTTTATTTTTGGCTGTGTTGGGTCTTTGTTGGCTTTCTCCAGTTGTTCTTCAGATTTGATAAATTCTGATAAAACTTTCTCCAGTTGCGGCGAGTAGGGCCTACTCTTCTTTGTGGTGCGTGGACCTCTCGTTGTTGTGGCTTCTCTTGTTGCAGAGCATGGGCTCTAGGCATGCGGGCTTCAGTAGTTGTGGCACGTGGGCTCAGTAGTTGTGGCTCATGGGCTCTAGAGCTCAGGCTCAGTAGTTGTGGTGCATGGGCTTAGTTGCTCCGGGGCATGTGGGATCTTCCCAGGCCAGGGCTCGAACCTGTGTCCCCTGCATTGGCAGGCGGATTCTTAACCACTGAGCCACCAGGGAAGCCCTCAGTTCTCTTTTAACTTTGTGATTTTTAAAGAGAAATATTTAATTTTTATGCAGATACATATATCAAAAATATCCTTTAAGATTTCTATCTTTGGAGATCTTCATCCCAAATTATATAACCATCTCCTACATTTTCCAACATTTCTTTTGCTATATATGTATTTTGTCATTTGAATCTTCAGTCCATCTGCTATTAATTTTGGTATAAAGTATAAGTGATGTAGGGATATAACTTTTTTCCTAAAAGTTTGGTTAGTTACCTATTTATACATAAACTGTCTTATAGTTTCTACTGTAGAACGTCTTATTAATAAGTCCAAGCCAAATATAGAACAATACCACCTAAATGTCCAATGCTCCTAGGAAGAGAAAGCCCACTTTTAGTTAGGTACTATGATGAAAGATGGCAGTAAACTAAGACCACAGTAAGTCCTGTAGCCACAGGGTTGACATTCAGCCAGTGTGTACTTATACGGCCTTACCAATTGTCTCTAGCTGCTTCCAGTCTGATGGGTTTGTGCCCATACCTTATCGGTTGTTAATGGTTTTAAAATATCATCCCTTCCAGTAGGTGTTAGTTAAATAAAGCAAAGCAGAATAATCTTTACCTGATTCCTCAGTTTCTTTTGTTTCTGTTGTTTCTTCTATTTCATCATCAGACATCTCCATTTCTTCTTCTCGCCTGATTCCCATTAATTCATCATTATGTATGTTGCGAATTTCCTAAGGTTAAAAGGTATGCTTTTTAGGTGGGAAAGCCTTGAAAATGTTGAGGAAATAAACAGAATTAAGGACTAGGTAAAGCAGGGTCTTTTTAAACATATAACAAAACTTCAGAGTAGTCTTAAGGCAAAGGCAAAGGCAAAGGCAAAGGCAAAGGCAAAGGGGCATGTTGAGGCTGAGGACAGTCTCAATACACAAAGAAAACTTTGTACACTCTGTCCTGCATAGGCTTTCTTTCCATATCCAGAGCTCTAGCAGCCGATGATTCTTGTATCCCTCCCATTTTAGAAAGTACTGTTGACCATGAAATACCTTCCACCTCTTACATGGATTTCTGGACTTTCCCTTAAGGTTCTGCCATGTTCACCTTCCCATGTCAAATCCTTTGATCTTGCTGCTTTCTAACCTCTTCTCTCTCCCTTTACAGTCTTACTCAACAGAACTCTTAATCAAACATTTGCAGGTTTAGTAGTTAGAGTAAAAATGAGCTGTCAGGACTGAACTCCTACCAGATCAACCCTTCCGTGGATAATATCTATATTCTGTGAACAAAAAAACAAACCAAACCAAATCCCTAACTACTTGATGCCATTGGAGAATGAACAAAAACAGGCATATTCTGAAGAGGAGCTGACACTTGGAAGAAGGGTGTGGGTCTTCCAGTTTTAAAGGGACTTTTAGTCTGAGAGCAGACAACAGCTAGCACCTCATATGGTGGCTAAATTTTAGATAGAAAATCCAAAGTCTTCATATCCTAAAGAAATAAAGGAGAGAGTTCAGGGCAACCACTGGAAGCCAATGGAAAGTGAGGAGGGGATCCCAGAAAGTAGGTAGCCAAAGAGAGAGGGATCCAAATTCTGTGTATAAGAACTGTACAAATTTCTGCATGACCCTTGAACCATGAAAGCACATGGCAGATTCCAAACAACCCAGCTAGGCTAAAAAACTGAACTGAGATTTGAGTTGCCATCTAAGAGAGACAATTTCTAGCTTAAATTCAATGAAGTAAATTGACCATTAAAACAAAAGAAAACAAAATCAACATTCTTTGAAAGAATATAACAGAATCCAAAGACTTAAAAGCAAAATATTCACAATAAGCAGGTAAAGCCCCCAGTTAATTGACATACCTACAAGAACTAGGTTGAGATGACCCATTTTCAAGAGAAAAGACAATCAACAGAAACCAAGCTTGAAATGAACTAGATATGGAAATTAGCAGAACAAGGAGTTAAAGCAGCTATCATAACTATCTCAATGATGTAAAGGAAATATGTTAATAATGAATGAAAAGATAGGAAATCTTAGCAGAGAAATAGAAACTTTGGATGAGCTTAACAGTAGAATAGAGATGACAGTATACAGAGAAAGCTTAAAGAGAGAACAATACAAATTTATCAAATCTGAAGAACAGAGAAACTAGCTGGAATCACAGAAAGAGAGGAGAGATTAAATGATTCAAAATATTTGAAGAAAAAATAGTTGAGGATTTCTTAAATTTGATGAAATATATTAATCTATATATTCAAAAAACTCAGTGAACCCCAAGCAGAATATGTGTGGAAAAACAGTATGTCTAGGAACACCATAGTCAAGCTGCTGAAAATGAAACATAAAGAGAAACTCTAACTCTTTAGTTAACTAAATTTATTGTGACAATCATTTCACAATACATGTAAGTCAAGTCGTTATGCTGTACACCTTAAACTTATACAGTGCTGTATGTCAATTATATATCAGTAAAGGAAAAAAGAGAAACTTTTAAAAGCAGCCAGAAAAAACCAACATATTATAAACAGGGGAAAAACAATTTGAATGCTTTGATTTCTTTCAGAAACAATAAAGACCAGAAGTTAGGGAAACAATTCTTTAAAGTGCAAGAAGAAATAAAAATTATCTATTTATTCAGAATTCTATATTCAGAGAAAAATTCTTTCAAGAATGGAGATGAGATAAATATATTTTCAGACAAATGTAAATGCGAGTATTTGTCACCCAAAGACTTGCACTATAAGAAAAGCTGAAGAAAGTTCTTCAGGCTGAAGGGAAGTGCTACCAGATGTAAACACAGATCTGCAGAAAGGCATGAAGAACATCGGAAATGATTGAGATCACACTGGAAAAGTCACTTTTTCAAAAAAAATCAAGCATGAGAACTCCATTTTGGAACAGCTTGCAATCATTTAAAGGCCACTTAATGCCTGTCAGAGGCTCCTCAGCAGTGAGCTGAGAATTCCTTGCCTAGGTTAGCTGCACTTGGGCCATAATACAGAAAATGTGCAAAGCCGTCTGGTGAAAATTGCCTCCATTTAGGGAGATTATAAGTATTTTAAATGGATTTCTTAATAATTAATGCTACGGTTAATCACTATCTCAACTAATATTCTCCTTTTTTATTCCTTTTATCAGGAAAAATAATGATTTCTATATCAAGTTAAGTTTACACTAAATATAAATAAAAGTACCTATTAAAAAGTGAGCTATTCAGTGTTATCACTGAGAGTTAAGAAGTAAAGGAAAAATAGAAGAAATAGAAAATAGAAATACTACCATAGGATCCCTCAATGTGCTGCAGAGGCATTACTTAAAATAGAAGAAAATAATGACTTGTTTGAGAAAAATGAACTTTAAAGGACTGTGTCAAGAGAGACATTTGCTATGTCTTATTGCACAGAGAGCAATAAAGGAATTGCCATTTCTAAGAATTCATCCTTTCTCAGGAGTCTGGATTTCAGTTATCAAAGAGCTGTTACTGGAAAGGTGATCATAATGAGGTTTGACACTGGCAAATTCAAATATTGTACAACTTACTTCATCAGGAAAAGTTGTGGCTCTCCTAGCTGCCTAACAAAAATGTAGACTGTCAGAGGGTATAAGCAGAGACCAACTCTCAATTCACAAACATGTTGTCTAACTCTGGGAAAGTTTAAATTGTGTTTCTCAGAAGAGTAAATTGTGTTCCTTCTAGGGAAATGTCGCAGGGCCGGAAGATCTAACTGATAGCTAAGACACGCTCTGTAGCTGCTCAGCATCCGCAAAGCATCTTTTCTGCTTCCAGCTGGGCAAGAAAGCGTAATCTCTTCTTAGAAGTATAAAATGTTCAATAACTAAGTAATACAGCTTATCTAGAGATCTTTCACACCTTCAAAAAATCCCTAGAAAAATAACGGACCTATGGGCAAATTTTACCTCAATGCCTCAAAATACTTCAGAAACAAGAGTTACCAGTTCTTTTAGCTGATAATGAAATGAGGGTAAGAAAAACTAGGGAGAAGCTTGCTCTAAGTATTCAGCAGGCAGGCAAAGTGGCAGAGCCTAGAGCCCTCTAACTAGACAATCCTTCTTAGCTACAGAGAAACTAAGGTCCGTACCATTACTTTTTCTGTAAATATCGATACTAAGTCACATGAATGGAGATAAGGCAGAGAGAACAATAGAGGCTATAGGATACTATACTGCAATAAACTTAAGGTGAGCGTTCAGTAAATGACACTACCTCTAAGTAAAGCAAGTGAGATTTTAATTCTTTGAAAAGTAAAGCACTTGATATCTAAGATGCCTATTTTCTATATTCTCTGGTGGATCAAAAAAGCTCTACTTTTGGAATCAAATCCTAACAAATACCTTCAGAGCGAAGGACTAAAAGGTGGCATTTACCTAAGGAAGGCATTCTACCTAGCTTGGACACAGGAGCAGGCAACAGGAGGACTTTGAGCCACTGAAGTGCAGGCAGCAAGAGAAACAGCTGCCTCCCAGATCTGCCCCTTTTCCCATCCTGATAGTTGGATCCAGTGCTGAAGCCAAGAGTGGCAATGACATGGAAAAACATTTTCCAGAAATTTTCATTTGTAATTCTCTACCTGAAATTGACTGGGTCACATCACTGATAGAGTACATAAAAAAAGGTAAGATAGCCTTCCTAAAGTTTTGATACCGCACTATTGCCCACAGTAGACCTGTGATATTTAATCTAAACAGTGAACTGTTAGTGACTTCTCAAAATGCATTATAATGCCTTTAAGTCTATTCTAGTGGTAACTTTTTGCGAAGCTTAGAAATTCACATATTGCTCCACAATGGAGGACAAAGCACTTTTAACATAGAATAAAACTGAAACCCTAGACAGAGGAAAATGCTGAAAAGAATCATTTTTGTACCAGCTGACATTTTTGATTTATCATAAAGTAGGCAAATCATAAATTATTGAACGTTAATTATCTAACTATATAGTTTCCAAAAAATTTATGTGGACTTAAATTCATCTTACTCATGTTTTATGATAGAAACATGACTATAATAAAAGCAAAGTTCCTTATGAACTGTGTAACAAAATTGTACTTACCCATACTTTGAAAATTAACAGGATACTCGGTGGGGAATGGGCCAGATGAAGGAATGGAAAGGAGCAGAGGATAGGAAGATAGCTCCTACACTTACACAGAAATTTGATTCTGAGATATCATTCAAGCCAATGAAGCAAAGCACAAACACAGGCTCTTAATCAATGTCTATTGTATGCTACATAATGGAAATACAAATTAGGTTGATCCAAATTTTGTTAGCATGGGGTTTGATGGCTGAAAGCCAATAGCTAGTGTTAGTGCAAATGGGTCCTAAAACGAGGGTATGCAGATAACTTGAACATCTATCTGCAACCAGTTCTTTGGGGTTTGGAATGATAGGCCTGGAAATCTAGAAAGTTATTTTAGCAATCACAGTATTTCATTTCATGAGAATGCTAGTACGTAATCACCATGTACCCTTTCTTCTGGTCCAATGGTATAAAAATCTCACATTAGGGAGAATGCAAGGGAGTTTCTTTGTGCCTACTGCTATGGCTCTATCTTCTTATATGCCATCCAAAGTTTAACTTGTAATCTAGGCCAGGATCTCGGTAAGATAAACACACAGGTTTTGAATGATTCTATAGAAAAAGAGTTCCCACAACACAGCACTGTCAGTAAAGTCACTGTAGATGCTAACTTTTAGTAAGGGGAGGGACTTCAGCCTTCTCTTATTTTTATTACCCTTTCAAATTGTATCAGCAGGAGCCTCACACACATGTAAATCAGGAAAGTAAACCAATGAAAAAGACTCATTATCAAACTAGTCTGCTTGGCAGATGCTACCAGGGTGAGTGCCTTAGCTCCCTGAAAGTGGGGACTTTTTCTTCTTACTTTATAACTTCTCTCTCACCAGAGTGAGACAGTGTCTGCTGCTGGAAGCACGATGACAATGGGACAAATAACAGGTACTTTGTGATGCGAGGAAGTCACCAGCTGGCTTATTCCCTGAGGCAACTGGTAGAAAAGGTTCAATGTCAGACCCTTCTACCTTGATGAAACCCCTAACTTAGGAATTGTAGCTTTTATGCCTAGGTCAAGAAAAAGTCAGTTTAGTTGATTAGGTCACTGAGATGCTCTGATTCTCAGTGGGGTGCTAAGAGGCAGTCCCAATTTAAGAGGACAGTTTTGTCACTTTCTACAGGATACCTCCTTTTAGTCCTCAGAGTTGCCTGTCATCAAGTGAAAGTACACAGAGGTTAAAAAAAAATTAAAGCCATGATTTAAAGAGGTGCCAATATAGAGTAGAAGAACTCTTTTAGGTTTAGGGAATGCAATGGCAGAGAAAGGTCATGAGCTATGTTCCACTGTCAGTAGTTTTACTTATAAAGATTGAGGTATTCAGGGTAGACCTTAATTTAGTCCAATCCAACAGGCAGGAAGCATTTTTCTGGGTTCCTACAAAGTCTACAAGGCATATCACAAAACATGTGGTAAGTCATGCTGGCCGTGTGCTTTATCCTCATCAGTGTGCCAAGGAAGCTCTGCTACAATATTAGGTGATAGGGTGTACAGCTCTCAGCTCTCCACAGCCCCAGAGAAATGTCCGGCTTACTGGCATAGCTATCTTTACTGAGGAAGTAATTAAACTCAAGCATATACCCACCAGATAGGTAGGCTTGCTATAACTACAGAGAGCCTTGATGAATAAAATTAATGGAGACTATTTTATTGCAAATTTGTTTACAAAAGGGTTGTGGCCTAGACAAGTCAGTTCTCCAACCAGAGGCTTCACTCCTCCCATGAAAAAGGAAATACTGTATCAGCAGGGCTTTCTGTAATGGGTAGGGCACTTCAAACAGCCTCTTCCACCCCCTAAAATGGATACATGTGTGCGTTGAAGGGAAGGTAGAGACTAATACTGCTTTGCTACAATTGGAAGACATATTGAGCATTTTTCTCTCAACTTTTATTTTTCTGAATTATTCAAACTAAATTAGGGATTTTGGATATTTTAAATTTAGGTGCTATGTGAAAAGATGCTCAATATCACTAATTTTTAGAGAAATGCAAATCAAAAGTACAATGAGGTATCACCTCACACCAGTCAGAATGGCCATCATCAAAAAATCTACAAACAGTAAATGCTGGAGAGGGTGTGGAGAAAAAGGAACCCTCTTACGCTGTTGGTGAGAATGTAAACTGGTACAGGCACTGTGGAGAACAGTATGGAGGTTCCTTAAAAAACTAAAAATAGAGCTACCATATGATCCAGCAATCCCACCCTTGGGCATATATCTGGAGAAACCATAATCCAAAATGATACATGCACCCCAATGTTCATTGCAGCACTGTTTACAATAGCTAAGACATGGAAGCAACCTAAATGTCCACCAACAGAGGAGTGGATAAAGATGTGGTACATATATACAACGGAATATTACTCAGCCATAAAAAAGAATGAAATAATCTCATTTGCAGCAACATGGATGGACATAGAGATTGTCGTACTGAGTGAAGTAAGTCAGACAGAGAAAGACAAATATCATATGATATTGCTTATATGTGGAATCTAAAAAAATGAACTTATCTACAAAACAGAAATAGAGTTACAGATGTAGAAAATAAACTTACGGTTACCAGGGGGTTAAAGGAGGGGGAGGGATAAACTGGAAGATTGGGATTGACACATACACACTACTATATGTAAAATAGATAACTAATAAGGACCTACTGTATAGCACAGGGAACTCTACTCAGTACTCTGTAATGGCCTATATGGGAAAAGAATCTAAAAAAAAAAAGAGTGGATATATGTATATGTATAGCAGATTCACATTGCTGTACACCTGAAACTATCACAACATTGTAAATCAACTATTCCCCAATAAAAATTTTAAAAACAAATAAATAAATTTAAGTGCTAAACTCCAACCCTCCCCTTGATCACTTTTGTTACCTTTTTAGCTCCCTGAGGGCAAAGATCATCTCATCCTGCATTGCCTGTCATGATACCTGAGACAGAGAATCTGTTCAGTAAACGTCTGAATTGAAATGTTGAATTTTCTTCGTTGGGCTCAACAACATGAGGTAGCCCTAGCATTCTAAAATCATTTTGTGCTACACTAAGATAATCGGTTCCTTTTCTGATCCAAATTATTATTTTTTTTAACAATTAAAAACTTTACTGGCTTTCTATGACCCTACCCTCCACTGGGCTGATGTCTTCAAGGATTTCTCCCTAGTGACTCATAGATCCCTTTGCCGAGTCAGAACTGATGGCTCAGAGACTGTTGGTTTATGAGCAGAGGTGGGCTTATCTTCCTCTAATCTCTCTTCACGGTTCTCAAATTGTTGCCACACAAACTATGTCATGTATTCTCATGAAAGACAGAGGAATGGATTATTATCTTCATTTTATAGATTAGGTAACTGAGGTTCACAAAGATTAAATGACTGACTCAAGACCACAAGGCAGTTTATACCAGAGCACAGAGTGAAGAAGAAGAATTTCTAGGCCTGAATTGACCACTTACTAGCTGTATAACTGTGTGTACATCGCTTAACATTTCTTTTTTTAAATTTTATTTTATTTTTGGCTGCGTTGAGTCTTCGTTGCTGCACATGGGCTTTCTCTAGTTGCAGAGAACGGGGGCTCTTTGTTGCGGTGCACAGACTTCTCACTACGGTGGCCTCTCCCGTTGTGGAGCATGGGCTCTAGGCCCATGGGCCTCAGCAGTTGTGGCACACAGGCCCAGCCGCTCCGCAGCATGTGGGATCCTCCCAGACCAGGGCTCGAACCCGTGTCCCCTGCATTGGCAGGCAGATTCTCAACCACTGCGCCACCAGGGAAGCCCACCTTGCTTAACATTTCTATGTCTCAGTTTCCTCACATGTAAAAAACGGACACTCTACTTACTTATTATTCCTTATGGAGTTGTTAATGATAAATTGAAATAATACTATTTCTCATTTATATAGCATTTATATTTTCATACTGTCTACATATCTCTTATCTCATTTAATCCAGGTGAAGAAATAAGGACTGAGAAAGGCTGACTAACTTGCTCAAAGTCACGCAGCTATAACGTTGTCAGAGCTGAGATTTGGATTCATGTCAAGTCCAAGTCCAAGGTTCTTTCCACTACACCACATCTATTGAGGGGCTCACATAGGTGAGCTAACCAATGTGAAAGTGCCTTATAATATGTAAGTTCCATACAAGTGCTATTTAACTATTAAGGAATATGACAACCTGCATTGATAGATATAATGGGACTGCTACTAGACTGGCAAAGAGGACTCAGAAACGAAGTTGAAAGAGTTGCTGCATACATAGATGCAAAGTGTCAGGGCTGGCTGGGTAAGGAAGCTACACATAGGAACAGAAAAACTTGAGGACTGTGTAACACCATTCCAAAGGCACACTGGTGTAAACAAACCTCCCATCTCGGTTTTTAATCTCAGATTTAGAATCGCAACCTAATCACATCAGATATGTTCTAGTGTTATGCTAAAAATGTCACTTGAGCACAAGCAGAGAGGTGTGTGTCAATCTTAATTTGAAATCAGAGTCCTCTGTTACCTTTAAAGCTGCCACCTATAAAGGTGGCTGAGTGGGTTTGATAAAGGAAGCTCAGAAATTTCAGTGCTCCAACGTAACACCAGGCAGCTTTCAGCCTCAACTGTCAAGATGCTCTAATAAATGTAAGACAGCCCTAATATTACTAACACTAGATGCACAGGTCAGTAATTATTGTTGTACCCAAGACTAGCTAGCTTAGGGAAGTAAACTTATTAATGATCGCAGCTACATTTTCACTACGAAGGTTTCCACCCAGCAGAATGCATTCAAGACAACATGTGCACATTTATTACCCTTTTGGCAGCAGGTGGTCTGGACACAATGACAGGCTATAGAACATGTCTCAGTGTTTCATTAGGGCCTTGTTGTGGCCATGGGAGCTTGGCACTATTTAATTCTAGCTAAACTCCAAATCAATAACTTGTTAAAGAAAGAAACTGTCCCCCTGAGGGGCTACCAGAGTAAAAAGTTACTAACCTCAGCTTGTTTACACCAAACGCTGATGTTTTTACGCTGGGCTTTTGTGAAGTGGTCCCAAGCCTTTTGTTTGGAGGCAGAATGGTACACAGCTACTATCTGCTCAACTGTAGCATCAGATCAACAGTTGAATCAGCATCATCCAGGGATGGCAAAAGAGAGGAGAAAAGAAATAAGAGAAGCATTAGGCTTAGTGTGTCTCCTACGACACTACTGGACTAGAGCTGTGCTAAAAAAAAAAGGCTATGTGTGTTGGCATACCATGAGTTTAAAGGGGACGCAAAGGCAAAGATATCAATATACAGAAAGAAAAAATGAATTCTAGAAGGTTTAGGGTGAAATGGTGACTAAAGTTTTTTAATACAGGCAGTCTGTATTCATTCAGGCAGGAGAGGCAAGAGTCATGGTGAATGTGATTTAGCACTATTGACCCTGCACAACAGGACAGCAAGTGGTGAACTGTACCAGCTCCTTTTGACCACTGGCTTCTTAAACTAGCCTTTCAGAATGAGCCTGGATGCTTCATTTCAATGGAATCCATCTTTTTATTATTCTGAGGTATGTTTAACCAGAAGCAACAAATCAAAACCTAAAATGGATGGGATCTATTTTAAATCTACCTAGATAGGCTTGTTGACTGGAGAAACACAAGTTTTATGGAAGAATAGTGTGTAAGCACAGTCCTAGGGAGTATTTTTTCAGGGTCGCTTAAAATGTCAAATGAGGAAACCTGGACAAATATTCGGGGGCTTTATCGCAATCAGTTCAAGAGAAGGAAAACTTAGTCATGACTTTTTTCTGGGGAAAGAAAAAAAGGACAAGATCCTGTGCCTGGCTAGGTGTTCACAGTAAGAAGATTCAGAGGTGTTATTTCTTTCTTTACAGCCCTGTTTGTACCCTGTCTACTAATGATTTAAGGATTTATATTCCCATGATGCTTGCTGCTCTCTTTTTCTATTTATTCTGAAGCCCTAAAAACATATGCTTTCTCTTCCTGGATTCCATGCCTGTAGATACTTTCAAAATAGAAATGGAAAATGAAACAACTCCTCCTTAATCCCATTTATGTATCAGTCAAGTATGAGAAGAGTGGGCCATAACTGTTTAAAAGCAAAGTCATAAAACTGTACCTTTGTTCCTAACGTGAATACAGTTTCTTACTCAAAAGATAAGAGTTCATAATTTTATAATACGGTGAACTAAAAACATTATTTGAGAATTTTTCTGCTCATTTAAGAGACCTTGGATAGGTTTGGAGTGGTACTAATTTTTGAAAATGTCTATTTCAGTGGCTTCCCATTCCCTTTCAGTGTCTACTGACATCCAGTAAAGGAAATGTTGAAGAAAGGAAACTAAAAACAAAAGGTAGAAGTAGCAAATTTGGCTTTTATTCAATTACCTTGGGAAATATAATTACATTTATCCCTGAAATGGAATACCTGAAAAGCATAATGATGCAAATCTGAAGCAAAGAAGCTTACAAATCCTGATGCTACATTCTAACTTCAGCAGTGAAATACCAAATTTTCCACTGGAGCCTGAGGCTGCTTGTAACTTACTTTGAGAACAAGCGAAAGTAAAATCACAGGATTGTGGTCTAAGCGTCAGTGTTTCTAAGGAGCTGAAGTAGATATACCACAGAAAATGAACATAGGAGGTGCGCACGTGATTCCCATGAAACCACAGCTCAGGCATTTGGCAATATAAGGAGAGCACAAGGCAGAAGAGGGCATTCCTTCTTGACACAGGATGGCTCTGGAGCCCTGGCTCCTGTGTAGAGAGAGTGATGACTAAGTGAAGTGCCCTCTCACCCTTCTGGCAGAACTATGACTTCCACTCACATTGAATGAGAATTCCAGAAAGGGCCTGCTTAAACTTCTCCTTTGCTTCTTCCATGTCTTTCTCATGGGCAGCTTTCTCATTCACTAGGCGGCGGACGTGGCTGTTGGCCGACTGGATCATGGAATAGAAGTTGTTGGCGCTGCGACGGTTCACCTCTCCTCGCTCAATCCAGGTAAGCAAGGTCTGCACGGCTTCTGAGAATTTGGAATCATCTGAAAAAAGAGAATTTATTTTTAGAGTCATCAAAAGTAACCAAATCTCCATCTATTTTCCAAACATGCTGGCAAGGAGGCCACCATGGCTTTTTGGCAAAGGTTGTGAAATGAATTAATTGCAGAGGGTGAGGAACCATGCATGCACACGTGTGCACACACAGGCAGCAGGTGAGCAGAGAGACTGAAAGAATGAAAGATTCCAAAAGTAGGCAGATTGGTTGTAGTCTACGAAGAATTTTCAGAACAAGAGTATTTCTTCTTTTCTTAAAGTTTTCTTTACTGACATAGTTTTCACATATTGCAAATTTCTTAACCTGTGTGTGTGTGTGTGTGTGTGTGTGTGTGTGTGCATGTGTGTAATATATAAATTAGCAGTGAGAGAACTTCAGAATTCTACAATCTTATTTTTTAATAAGCACAAGTAAACTTGAGCCTTGAGCTTAACTTGCATTTGACAGTAACTTTATCCTGGATCCATGGAATTAAACCTTTGGAAGGAGACTTAAGAAAGAGTTAAATGGCAATTCTTTAGGTATAAACACTTACATCTTTGACTTTTTGTAACATCACTCCTGCATCCAATCCAGCCCCAGGCCTTCCATTCAGTCCCAGTCACAATCTATTTTGATGTAATTCATTCTATTTCTACATTTCGCCACATCCTGTTTCTCTTGCCTGAGGAACCATCCATGTAGATTTCTACAGCTAGTTAGGAGTTACTCTCTGATGTTAAAATAGTAGTCTCTAGTTCAGCTTCCAAAGCCTCTGGTTCAGCTTTCTGAGATAGCCACTTACATATTCTGCTGTTAAAGACTCCTGAGAGGGAGAGTCCATTAGGATCCCATTGAAGGCCCACTGTAGGACTCCACATCCCTCTCTAGCCAGGAACCCTTATGTCCAGTGGAACCATCTCTCACTGTAATGTGAACTTCTTACCACTTGCCTTTTTAAGTGCAGATGTGTAATGAGAGGTCAGCCTCACCGTTATAGCAGTTTTCATTTCATTACTTACATACAGTCTTTATGTTGATGCTCAGTTTTTAAAAAATTATTGATGTATAGTTGATTCATTGATGCTTACTTTTTGCTTGAGTTCCACACAACCAGCAAATTCATTTTTTTATAAAAATTCAAACTGAGCTGTTTGGTCTTATGTGAACAGTTAAGTCTTGGACCTGGCATCTTACCAATGCTTTCAGCCTTTCCAGCTTTTCAAAGTGTACCATTATTTCTGTGTCTCTACTCTGGACTCTATGTTTCCTGCTTTTCTCTTACAGGAAGACAAATCAATCCAAACAAAGGATTTCTTTAACGTGTGAAACCCTTAGGCTATAAGGTGCAAACAAGTTTGGTGAATGAGACCTATTTGCAAAGGGGGAATTAGCAGCATCTTGCTGAGCCTAGAGCACAAGAAGCAAGGAAAATTCATACTGTTAGAGCTGGGTTGGTGTCACCAATAAGATCAATGGGACACCAGCACTCATCCAGTAAAATCAACCATACTCATAGAATGAAAAAACTGGATTTGAGCTACTAACACAGGAGACTAGGCAAGGCAATTAAGGTTAAATTAGCAAAATGGCTCTGAGAGTTAAGCAAGGGGAACAGGAATCAAAACTAAAGGGAAAGCAGTCTGATTTAGCAATGTCTGGAAGTCTCTGTAGTTACTGTGTGAAATAAATGTGTGATTAAAGGAGTCCTCTTTTAGTTGGTAGTAGCTACGTCTTTGAGTAATCTAAGAAGAATGTATACTGTAACTACTCTGGCCCTCCATTTTCTCATCTATAAAATGGAATTTTATCAGAGTTTTCTGAGGTCACATCAAGTTCTATTGTTCTGATTTATTCTGACTTAGAATTCAAAACTAACTTGCTATCCACAATGAAACGGGGTGGAGGTGCTTACAGGTCCCAAGTCATGGATCACAGCTAAAATTCTCTGATGTGGAAAAGTGGGAAAAAATTGTTTCTTTCTAGTCACCTGATGTATGGAGAGAAAAAGTAACTTGAGACAGTGAAGGATCACAGACACAGGTGGGAGGGACAAATTTTTGGCTCTTGAATTACTAGGTACACCTTTCTAACTGCAAGGCTTCATCACAAGAAATGCTTAGAATCCCTCAGTGGGAAATTCAAGGATAACTGTCAACAATACAAATATATTTATTACATTTCTCCAAAGAAAAGAGTTATTTTAATCACAAAGCTCGAGTGTTTTGTATACCTTTTAGTTTTTCAGCAACAATGCTGCATTCATGGTCTGAATAGTGGACCACTGGAGGTGGGGATGGTGGGCGCAACCTTTCTTCTTCCATCCTTCTACGGTGGCGTTCCTCTCTTGCAAGCATACGCTGTTTGCACTCCCACTCATACAGGTCATCTCGAGCCTGTGCAAAATCAACATGAAGCCTACCTGTGTCCTTTTTGTCAGTGCTAGAGCCCAGGCGAATGCGGTAACCTAAGTGCACAAGAGGGAGAGAGAGGAGAGAACAAGAACAGCCCAGTGAGTGAGCCACTGTAAGTAGCTTTTCAAGTTCGGTACTTCAGATGCAGTCACAGCAGTTTCCAGGGACCACATAACCCCAAATTCTCTCCCCACTACTAGCAAGGAGAACATTAAAGACTTGGATTATAGTCTCTATCTCTGATAATAGTTTATTATTCCATGGTTGGGTCAGTCTTATTCATAGGACTTTCATTTCTCCATCTGCCACCTTACCTGTGACAGAGGGAAGCTCTGTGGGTAACTGTATCAAGAATAAGCTTTATGTGGCACCATGGGCTGGGAAGAATGCAAAAGGTGGCCTCAAATTGTGGTGTCTTTGGATAACTTCAAGAGTGTCAGTCATTCCACCACTCAGAATTTTGATAAAATTTAGATAAAATTTAAATAAAATCAATAAAATTTTGATAAATTTAAATCAGCTCGACATTTCAATCCCCCAAATTGCTTCCTAGATGTATCTGGTGACTTGGAACCATTTTGGAGGGGGTGGTGGAATAGATATAACGGGGAGTGGTATGTGATCCAGGTGACATATAATTTTGGATCCTTAAAAAAAGAGGTAGTATGCTTATAGTATACTGGTATAGGACTAGGATTCAGATAACCAGGATTCAAGTCCACACCTCCACTTTTGGTGTCAGTTATAGCACCAAAGTTAAATCTCTCAACAAAAAAATCAAAAAAAATTAAGTTTTTATTAATCTTTTAAGTTTCAGAAGCTGAGCTAGCTGCTTCCACACACATTTATCTCATTTCATTCTAAGCACAAGTTTGCAGGGTAACTCCTGCCTTAAACAAGTAAAAATATGGACAAAATGTATGAAACAATAGTTTTTAAGACATTGGACATTAGGCAATGAAGACAGAGATCACTAAGAGACAAGAACCAAATGAAGTGATCCCTAAGATTTCCCCAGCTTATTGCCTGGAGAGAGTTTCCAGGCCTCAGCACAGGGAGGGGAACTCAGGCAAAGCATGGTGATCTCCCTGAGTTGAGGAGATTGAACTGGGAATCCAGGGAGACTATGGCAGACAGTTTGCATGGCAGGGTACTGGAAAGAAGAAAGCTACACAGAGAAAGAACTTCGGAGATCTGAAGAGGGTCCTCCCCTATTATGTAGCTCAGTATTGATGTCTATCTATGTGTGAATTACCTGAGCATTAGAGGTAATAATCCCTGGAGCTCATACAGGGCTAGGACTATTTCCTTTTCACACCAGCCGGAGGAGAAAATCTAATAATTCAGAGAGCATTGGATAGAGTAATCAAAAGAGTTTTGCCTTAGTGAGGAAAAATTAGCCCTAGACTAAACCCTGCTCTGGTTCTGCTGAATAAAACTTAAAAACAAGACCTAAAAAGATAAAAAAAATTTTCAAGTTACTTAACTGCATCCCAGAACAAAGGTCAAGAATACTTACAGGAATGAAAAATATTTGTCACCTGGTAAAATTCACAATGTCTGGTGTTCAATAAAAAATTACCCAATATGCAAAGAAGCAGGAAAATCATAATAAAGATAAAAATCAGTCAACGAAGCAGACCCAGAAGTGATGCAGATAATATAATTAATAGATAAGGACATAAAAACTATTATAGTTGGATTTCATATGCTTAAGAAGCTAGAGAAAAGATAGAACATATTAAGTAGAAACACAAAAGACATAAAAAAGAACCAAAATCAAACTTTTATAGATTTAAACTACAATGTCTGAGTTGAAAAGAAATCACTGGACAGGACCAATGACAAATTAGACATTGCAGAAGAAAAGATTAATGAACTTGAAGACATAGCAATAGAAACTATTCAAAATGAAATACAGAGAGAAAAAAGACTTAAAAAAATGAACAGAGTACTGGTGAGCTGTTGACAACTTCAAGGGGTCCAATATATGCCTAATTGGAGCCATGACTGGAGACAGGGGAGGGAATAGAAAAAATATTTGAAGAAATAAGGAAGGAAAAATGTCCAAATTTGATGAAAACTCAGATATAAGAATTTCAATGAACCCCAAGTGGAAAACCATGAAGAAAATTATACCAAGACACATCATAATCAAATTTCTAAACACCAGCAATAAAGAGAATATCTTAAAAGCTGCCATAGACAAAAGACACATTTTATGTACAGAGAAACAAAAAGATAAGGATAACATCATATTTCTTGTTGAAAACAATGCAAGTAAGAAGATAGTGGAGCAACATCTGAGAGAGAGAGAAAAAAACTGTCAACCTAGAATCCTACACCCAGAGAACATATCTTTTAAAAAAAGTGGAATAAATTTTTGATACGTACAAACGCTAAAAGAATTTATCAGGAGCAGACTTGCACTACCGAAAATGTTAAAGGAAATTCAATTACAGGGAAAATGATACCAAATGGAAATCTGGATCTATAAAAGGAAGGAAGAGCATACAAAACATATGATTTCATTTATATGAAAATCTGGAAAATGCACACTAATCTGACAGAAAATAGATCAGTGTTTGCCGGGGGAGAGAACTGGGGAGGGTTAGGAAGAAGAGATTACAAAAGAGGCATGAAGGAAGCTTTTGGGAGAGGTGTACATACTCATTATTTTGACTATGATGATGGTTTCACAGCTGTATGTATGTGTCAATAATATCAAATTGTATTTTTGAAATATGTGAAGTTCATTGTATGTCAATTATACCTAAATAAAGCTGTTATAAAGAATAATTCCCAGTCACACTAAAATATTCTTTTTAGAAAGAGGAAGAATAAATACATTTCATAAGTAAACTTTGCTAGGGCTCTTTAAAGTTTACAATGTACTTTCACACCCCCATTCATCTTATTTAATTATCTGAGCCATCGGAAAAATGGGGCTATTAATGATTACCTTGACTGTTCTCCCAGGATTGTGGAGAAGATCAAATGAGAGGAGGAAATGAAACTTTTGCATAAACATACACAAGATACTGTGATGCTTTGAGGTGGTACACTTTGTACAATGCCGGCTCCCAAAGGTGCTCAAACTCCAACAGAAAAAACAATTATGTCTACATTTCTAGCCCCTTTCTAAAGGATTTTTGTTTGTTTTAACCTCTTTCTTTTACAAAGTGGGAGAACAGCCATCCAATTCAGGAGTTTTCTAGCACGTGTAAACTTTCAGGGAGCAGGTTCAAATTTAAAGGGAAAAATTAGTTGTTTTCACATCACTGATTGCAATCTCCTTTCCTTTGGCAGCCGTGAGAATGTTTCCAGGTGGCTGTTACCAGAGAGCTGATTTCAATGACATTTAGATGGATACCTCCTGAGCAGCATGTCGTCTTTTATGTACAACTGTTCAGGGCTTTTCAAGACCTTTAAGTTTTTATTAAAATAGTCTATTGTGGAATGCTCTGTTATCATTGCTAAGGGCTGTTAAATCTTCAGTAGTTGGATTTTACAGCGCTTAGCAAATGTAAAAAGAGCATTCTACATCTGCCTCCTCTTCTCCTCTCCCATGTTAGCAGCCTAATTTTTCCAATGCTCATTACCTTTTCTTTGGCCTATTGCAACAGGTATCTAACTGACCTCCTCTCCTCTTACCCATTTTTATACAGAGCGGTCACATTAATCTTTCAGAAACAATCTTCTTCCTTGTTCAAGAATTTCTTCAACAATTCCCTATTATCTGAGAAGTAAAGACCCAACTGTTAAGCCTTTTAAAGTGTGCTGACGATGGATGTTTTCCCTCCTCCTTTCATGTCTACTCAGTACACAAACCACTACTTATTGTTTCCTTGAATGTTCATCAAAACCTACCACCTCTGTACCTTTGCTCATGCTGTATCTATGCCCCATTGTCCACATTCAAATGCTTTCTCTTTGTCAAAGACTTGGTCTAAATGCTACCTTTTACCTTGATAACCCCAGTCAGGAACCAGACAACTTCAAATTCTCTCTCTCTCTCTCTCTCTTTCCCCCTCCCTCCCTCCCGTCCTCCCTTCCTTCCTCCCTTCCTCCCTCTCTCTCCTCTGAACTTCCATAACACTTTACCATACTTCTCGTACAGCACACATAACTTTCAAATGTCATTATTATTAGCAATGAGTGTGTCTTATCAGTGTCTTGAGCAATGCCAGGTGCTCAATGTTTCTTTAATAAATGAATGTATGACTGCATACTAACCCTGGGTTCATTAAAGGGAAGAACTAGGTTTAACTCATTTTCTACTCTGTACAACATTTAGCACAATAGCTTACACAAAGGAGATGTCCAACAAGCGCCTGTTACGTGAATGAAGATTCTGTAAAATGTCTAGCACTTGGACCCAATTCTTCCAAATTTTTAACCCTTAGGGAAGGGTTAGTAGTTAGGGAAGGAAGTAGTTAATTGTTCTATGCCCTTTCCAATTACTCTGTCTTCTGCCTTCATCTTATTTGTCCACTGCCCCATAAAGAAAAATAACAATTCAAATAAGCAAAGGATCAGCCATGAAACTTTATAATATTTACAAAGAAAATCATTCCAATTCCAATTGCCTCAGTCTCCCCAAATCTGAACTTTTACCAGGAACAAGTGACTTTATGCAGAGTAGTTCTTGCTATCTCCACTCCAACTACCATAGTATATAAGCCGCTATCACTTCTGGATTGGACTAATGCTATGGTTAGCTAACTAACCACTAGTCACCACACTTGCCCATACCCTTCAGTCCATTCTTTACCCAGAAGTGATATTTCTAAAATGTATATCAGATCACATCACCCTACTCCTTAAAATCCTTCAATGGCTTCCCATTGTATCCAGAATAATAAACTCATTACTACAGACATAACTTGGAGATATTGTGGGTTCAGTTCCAGGCCACCATAATAAAGTGAATATCGCAATAAAGTGAGTCACACATAGTTTTTGATTTCCCAGTGCCTATTGAAGTTATGTTTACACTGTACTGTAGTCTATGAAGTGTACAATAGCATGACATCTAAAAAATGTAAATACCTTAATTAAAAATACTTTATTGCTAAAAATGCTAACCTTCATTTGAGCCTTCAGTGAGTTGTAATCTTTTTTTTAAATTTTTATTTTATATTGGAGTATAGCCGATTAACAATGCTGTGATAATTTCAGGTGCACAGCAAAGTGACTCAGCCATACTTATACATGTATCCATTCTCTGGATGGGGGAGTTTGGGGGAGAGTTGTAATCGTTTTGCTGGTGGAGGGTGTCACCTTGATGTTGATGGCTGCTGACTGACCAGGGTGGTGGTTGCTGAAGGTTGGGGTGGCTGTGGCAACTTCTTAAAATTTAAGACAACGATGAAGTTTACTGCATCAATTGATTCTTCCTTTCATGAACAATTCTCAGTAGCATGCAGGGCAGTTTGATAGCATTTTACCCACAGTAGAACTTCTTTCAAAATTGGAGTCAGCTAAGTTTAACAGCTAAGTTTGGGTAATATTCTAAATCTTTTGTTGTCATTTCAACAATCTTCATAGCATCTTTACCAGGAGTAGATTCCATCTCACAAAACCACTTTCTTTGCACAGCTTTAAGAAGCAACTCCTCACCTGTTAAAGTTTTATCATGAGATTGTAGCAATTCAGTCACATCTTCAGGCTCCACTTCTAATTCTAGTTCTCTTGCTATTTCCACTACATCTGCAATTACTTCCTCCACTGAAGTCTTGAGTCCCTCAAAGTCATCCATGAGGGTTAGAATCATGTTCTTCCAAACTCCTGTTAATGTTGATATTTTGACCTCTTCCCATGAATCACGAATGTTCTCAATGGCATCTAGAATGGTGAATCATTTTCAGAAGGTTTTCAATTGACTTTTCCAGATCCATCAGAGTAATCCCTATCTATGGTAGCTATAACCTTACGAAATGTATTTCTTAAATAATAAGACTTGAAAGTTGAAATGACTCCTTGATCCATGGGCTACAGAATGGATGCTGTGTTAGCGGGCATGAAAACATTAACCTCCAGCAGAGCTCTTGGGTGACCAGGTGCATTGTCAATGAGCATTAATATTTTGAAAGGAATCTTTTTTTCCTGACCAGTCAGTCTCGGTAGTGGGCTTAAAATGTTCAGTGAACCATGTTGTTAAACAGATGTGCTGTCATCTAGGCTTTGTTGTTCCATTTATAGAGCATAAGAAGAGCAGAATTAGCATAATTCTTAAGGGCCCTAGGATTTTTAGAATGATAAATGAGCACTGGCTTCAACAGAAAGTCACCAGCTGTATTAGCTCCTAAAAAGAGTGTGCCTGTCCATTGAAGCTTTGAACCCAGGCATTGACTTCTCCTCTCTAGCTATGAAAGTCCCAGATGATATCTTCTTCCAATAGAAGGCTGTTTTATCTACAATGAAAATCTGTTGTGTAGTGTATCACCTTCATTAATGATCTTAGCTAGATCTTCTGGATAACTTGCTGTAGCTTCTACATCAGCACTTGCTGCTTCACCTTGCACTTTTATGTTATGGAGATGGCTTCTTTCCTTAAGCCACATGAACTAACATCTACTGGTTTCAAACTTTTCTTCTGCAGCTTCCTCACCTCTCTCAGCCTTCACAGAACTGAAGAGAGTTAGGACCTTGCTCTTGATTAGGCATTGGCTTAAGGGAATGTTGTGGCTGGTTTGATCTCCTATCCAGACAACTAAAACTTTCTCCATATGAGCAATAAGGCTGTTTCAGTTTTTTATCATTTGTGTGTTCACTGAACTAGCACTTTCAATTTCCTTCAAGAACTTTACATTTGCATTCACAAGTTGGCTAACTGTTTGGCATGAGAAGCCTAGCTTTTGGCCTATCTCAGCTTTAGACATGCCTTCCTCACTAAGCTTAATCATTTCTACCTTTTGATTTAAAGTGAGAGACTCTTCCTTTCACTTGAACACTTAGAGGCCATTGTAGGGTTATTAATTGGCTTAATTTCAATATTGTTGTGTTTCAGGGAATAGGGAGGCCCAAGGAGAGGGAGAGAGATGGAGGAGCAACCAGTCGGTGGAACAGTCAGAACACACACATTTATCAGTTAAGTTCACCATCTTAGATGGGTGCAATTTGTGGCACCCCAAAACAATGACAATAGTAATATCAAAGATTACAGATCACCATAATAAATATAATAATAATGAAAAAGTTAAATTTTCCCAGAATTACCAAAATGTGACACAGAGCCACGAAGTGACGAAATGCTGTTGGGAAAATGGCTTTGATAGACTTGCTCAATGCAGGGTTGCCACAAATCTTCAATTTGTAAAAAACACAATATCTGCAAAGCATAATAAGGCAGAGTGCAATAAAAAAAGGTATGTCTGTATAGATTAAGGGACCAACATAATTTGGTACTGTTTACCTCTCAGACTTCATTTCCCTTCACTGCCTCTCTCTCATTTACTGTGCTCTAGTCATGCTTACCTTCTCTCCTCTGCTTGAACATGACAAGTCCATTTTCATCTTAGGGTCTCTGACTTGTTCTTCCTTATTTTGGAATGCTTCTCCTACAGATGTTTGCATGGCAATCCCCTTCATATTGTTCAAATCTCAATTCAAATGTTAGAGAATACTTGCTTTCCTAGCAACCCCAGGTATGTTAGCTGTTTTTGTCTTCTTCATAGCATTTATTGGTACCTGATATTGTTTACATATATATCATATTTTGCCATCTTCAGAATGTAATATCCCTGATGGCAAGAATTTTGTATGCCTCAGTCTTTGCCATATCCTCAGCAACCTAGCATTCTGATTATCAGTCAATAAATATTTGATAACTAACTGACTTCCATAGTTATTTTTGAGCATCTACTTTTGTACCAGGTTATGTGCTAGATGCTGGGGATTCAAAGTTAAATAAGACACAGTCTTTCCCCTAAGGAGTTCATTCTCTGTTGCAGGAGACAGAGGTAGAAAGGGACAGTTCTCATATGGTGTTACAGGTGTCATGCTAGGAGGAAGCACCAGGCATGGCAGAAGCACTGAGGAAGGGGTGCCCAAACCAGCCTGGGGCAGAGTGGGGAGAGAAGTCAGGGAAAGATTTCTAGAACAGGTTATGATTGAGCTGGAGCTTTAGGGTATGAAGATGTGTGTATGGTGGGTGGGGGTGGAAAAGGTAATTCTAGTCAGAGGAAAGGGCATAAAACACCATGGGCACATTCTGGGAACTAGAATTAGTTTAGTGTTAGGACATGGTATGTGAAGGAAGGATTGGGAGATAATGTTGAGAGGTAAAACAGATAATCAAGGCCTTTAACACTACAAGTAAGGAGTTTTGGAGTTATCCCATTGGCAACTGGGAAATACTTAAGAACTTTTAAAGGAATACATCAGGTAGTAACATGCATTTTCCATCTATGAAGGCAAGAGAGGTTGCCATTAAGCCCAAACTTTAACTGCCACAGGTGCAAATACACTGATCCCCAATCTCTGTGCTGTGCCTGGTGGGCACAATCCTCATGACTAAACACCTACCAGAAAGATAAAGGGCTTTGTCCACCATGTACTCCTCAGCAAAGCGAATGTGACAAAAGTTTTTTTTGCTCTTCCGAATAGCAATGATCTCTCCACACTGCTCAAACACTTCCACGATGATCGGCTCTGTACCGTTTTCAGGCAGGCCGCCCACAAATACTGTTTTGCATCCTGGTGGTCGTTCTCGGGTTGCAGGAGGTGGAAGATCTAAGTGTAAGTGCAAAAGCATTTGAAATTAAAATGTTTGCTTAGGACAGACCTCTAAGAAACTTAACATGTCCCAGAGACAGCCCTACTGTCCCCATTAGACTTCTGCCTAAGAGTCCCAGAAGCACGTGGCCTCCAAGATGCTCATCTCTGCTCCATAGCAAATTGGTTGCCTGACCCTGAGAATTATTTTATTCAATGATTTGGTGATCGTGATGTATGTATACAGGATAAAGACTCAGACCCATCTGTCTCATCAAAAGTTCTTTAATTTTGTTCTTTACTTTTGTTGTGACAACCCAGCTATGCCCAATTTTCAGTCATTTTTATTAAGAAGACAATTAGTGGAAAGAAATCCCACTTGGTTTAAACTTACTTTTGAGAATTCTTAGAACCAACGTCCTTGAGAGAAGGTTTGTTTAATTCAGTTTGTAGTTATTGTATTCTCCCTGTTCATGCTTACAGAAAGAACTGTTTCAGGATTAATTTGACAGTGAAGGGGTGAACATTTACAAAAATATTTACAGCTATCAGAATAATTTGGTTGACAAAGTCAGCCAGAGTACAGATCATCCCTTTTAGGTTTTTTGTTTTTTGATACCAGTGAGCTCTTCCTCAGATTCTTTGCTGGAGAAGTGAGGTCCAGAGCCAATCATGCAGCATTTAGAGGGAAAGTAAGCTCATCTGGGAAATCATTAAATAAAGTGAGATAAATTTGGCTGTAGAGTTATTAAAAACCTACTTAATGGGCTTCCCTGGTGGCACAGTGGTTGAGAGTCCGCCTGCCGATGCAGGGGACATGGGTTTGTGCCCCGGTCCGGGAAGATCCCACATGCCATGGAGTGGCTGGGCCCGTGAGCCATGGCCGCCTAGCCTGCGCGTCCCATTGCGGAGGCCATGGCAGTGAGAGGCCCGTGTACCGCAAAAAAAAAAAACCCAAAAACCTACTTAATGAGATGATTCTCCTTCTGCTTAAAAAATGTGCTTTCTACTCACTTATACATAAAGCCGGTTGCATCTGCCAGCTCCTTGTTGCTGTTTATATGTAGCAAAGCATTTCCCAAGCAAAATCCTACAGTTCATAGCCCAACAAAACAAAGCATGATGGTCAAGGGTTTTCTAGTGTTGGTTTTGTATCTGCAAGGATTTATTTTGTGTAATCCGTTCTTCCCATTCAGCTCTTAACAATAATTCTCCCAGCTCAAGAATTGTAGAGCTTGACAACCAGTGATTATAGCTCACATGCAAAACTAAATGAGTTTCACTTGTAGATTAGGCCAAGGCCCCCACCTGATTCTTATCCAAGTTGGCAAGCAGATGATTTGAGAGCTGCCTCAGCTATTAGCATCTTAAGCTTCCTCACTTTGCTTATTAGTGTGGGTCAGAATAATCAAGTTCTCATTATGCTCTCTTTCCCTCTATTTAGTCAGTAAAAGGGGTAGAGGGATTCAGGGAACCTACAAAATTTCTGTTAAAATTTTAAATGTCTGCAATTTCAAGAACTCACTGTATTGGTTTTTTATTCCATAGGAGAAGCTTAAAGGGAAAAGAAGATAACCTAGTGAGCAGGAATCTGAAATGTCTAACATTAGAGAGGTTATAACTTTAGCCAAAAAGGGAAAAGTGAGATCCAGAATTTCTTGAGACTTATACTTCTGAGTTTTTTAAGAACTGTAAAGGATTCTAGATATCACACTTCCAGTGATTCTCAACTCTGGTAGCACATTAGAATCAACTTGGGAGTCAAACAAACAAACAATGCCTGGGTCTCACTCCAATGAGTCTGATTTTATTAGTCTGGGGTGCAGCATGTGCATCATTTTCTTAAAGTTCCTCAGGCAACTCTAATGTGTAGCTATAGTTGAAAACCACTGACTTGGCCTAAACTTATAATATTCTGAGGAAAAACCTTAGCTGAGTGAGGTTGGGTAACTTATTCAAGGTCAACAAATCAGATAGAAAGAGAAGGAAAATGAACCTGGAGCAGTTAAACCTGGACTTAAACCTTAATTACTCACTGTCTGTATGACCTTGGGAAAATTACATAACCTCTGAGAACTTTGTTTTTTCATCTTAAAATAGGGATACCATCCTCTACCTTACAAGGGTTATTGTAGGATAATTGATAATCTACTGCCTATATTGCATGTGGCATAATGCCTAGCACTTGATAGGTTCCCAATAAATCGTAGTTATTATAGTGTTATTATTATTTACTATTATAGAACTCAGGTTTCCTAATTACCACTCTGAGGCTTTCTAAAATCCTACTACAAGTCCAGAGTGGAGTGATAGCTAAGACCTGGATTTCTAAACCCTCAGCTCCTTGCTTTATCCAGATCTTTAGATAAGGCTGGGTTTGGGAAGGAATCACTCTTATTGGTAGAGAAACTGTTACAGAACTGAACTTGGGTCTGCTTCACACCCCACCCTCCCAGCAGTAAAACCAATCTACCAAAATCAGGTTGTGCTGAAGGAAAGTACAGCATTTATTGCAGGCACCAAGCAAGGAGAATGGGCAGTTCATGCTCAAAAGACCTGAACTCCCTGATGGCTTTCATGGAAGGGTTTTTAAAGGCAGCATTTGGGGTGAGGGTTGCAGGGTGTATGACTTTCTTCTGACTGGTTGGTAGTGAGGTAACAGGGTGGTGTTTCAGGAATCTTAATCATAAACCTTCTGGTTCCAACCAGTCTGGGGCATATTCCTTGCAGAGTAACTAGGACTCTGTTTTATTGTTGAATTATTGTTCAAGCTATCTTGCTTACTGCTTTTCCTTTGTTTCTGTATTCCTTCACTTCTCCAATTAGTAACTGCTTGTGCCTGCTCTTTGGCACTCAGGGAAGACCTAGAAGACAAAAATCTTTTCCTACAAACAAGAAACAGGGGACATGGAGGGCCTTTTGTACCCTGTAGGGCCCGTGGTGTCCTGCTCAGTTTCAGAATCTACAGCTGTGAAGACACATATGATTTTCACTATAGAACACAACCCGGCCACTGACTATATTAGGTAAAGAATTTTTAACAACATCTATTTAGTTAGAGCCATGTTTTCAAATCTAAGGCTTCAGAATAAAATCCTGCCTTAGAACCCTTCTGAAGTTTACTATTTAAATGAATTCGATAAAGAATCTTTTTATGAAGCAAATAATCACCTTTTTATATTATTTCAGTTAGCCTAGGTTTACCTTTAGGTCCGTTGAGAGACTCTAAGGAATGTCTGGTTACTGCTATAGTTATATGTAATACTGACAATATCAAGGCTCTTTCCCTTGATGAAAGCATCACCCTATTTAGATGCTGTGATTATTCTGTGGTGACTGCTAAGTAAAGGCGCATAAAAGCCACTAAGAGTAGTGTCAAGAATGCTGGGGATTTATTTATTTTCCTTGGGTAAATGTAGCATTTGCTGAGATTTAGGTGTATGCCACCAGCAAGGCAATGGGCTGTACTGTCTTCCTTAATGGATAGCACTTGTTCTTTAATTAACAGCTCAAAGTACTTTGTTGCCTGGGCCCGATTTTCTAATCCCACCAAAATACAGTGATATGGGCATAGCAATGGTAACTCCATAGGAGTTAATCCTATTAATCAGGTAATGTGCTAAGCTCCTGTAACACCCCAATCACCACTCCGGATGGAGAAGAAGAAACTTCCATGTAAAAAGATGCAAGATAACTGGGAGTATAAAGCACTCTAATCTCTGGTAATGGAAAAGGAGGGGCTTCTAGCAATTCTAATTACAACTAAGCACCCACTCTGGGGAACTGTGTTGGGGCAATCAGCATTAAGATCAAAGTCACTGCTCATCTTTGAGAAGTGAGGCAGGGAGCAGCATAGAGGCCCAATAAACCACTTGCATCTTGCTTTTCAAAGGAGCATCACAGATCACTCAACTGGTTTGCCAGAATTTGCATACTGCAAAATCTTTGAGTTGATTTTATCAGAAAGCCCAAGATTGAAGGTCCCCTAGACAATCAGCAGGGGTCAGATATATCTTAATGTAATCCCAACTGATTGGAAGTAATCAGAAGGCCAGCGAATCTTTATTAATTCTCAATTTATCCATTGTCTCTAATTTTCTTTATAGAACCCAGCCCTAGGAGCCAAAATGAGTTCAGCCTGTTTTGGGATGGTAAAATGAAATGATTGCTCTTTTTCTGGCTCCTGGGTGCTTTCCTACATGCCTGCACACAGATGGCAGATGATATTCCACCATTTATTCCATGTTCACTGGTATTTCACAGTAGATGAAAAACGCAACCTCTCCATACAGAAGGTCTATCAGCTGAAGTGAAAAATCTTGACAGAATTGAGTTCTCTGCAGAGAGGGTGCTGTCCTCTTCTTATACCACCAACTGAGGACTGTTAATTGGGAATGCAGTAAATCTCTGATAGCCACCCTGTGAAAAAAAGTACCTGTGTTCCAGGGAGCTTTCTTTTGCCATATCTCTGACTCCTAGGAATCAGAGGATGTTGCTCCTAGGACAATTCACCATTTATCTTTAGGAGACTGGTGCACAGTCAGCTCCAGTCTAGTTTGATCTGTTGAATTTTTAGACCAGAACTGATTTTGCCTAGTCTAGATCAGAGAGGTTAAGTTATTTACCCAGGATTTCATGGCTATTTAGTGTGGAGATCTGGGATATGAAACCAGGCCTATGTCACGTTGGGGCTCTTAATTATTATACCATACTGCCTGTTCCACTGAAGGCACAAAGCTCTACGGGCCACCTGCCAATTTGCTCTTGCTTTTCCTAATACATTTTGAGGGGCTTTTGCCTAGGTGAATAATTATTGTGGTAACTACATTTTTAATATCAAGAATCATATTTTTAGAACTGGATGAAACCTTGGAGGTATCTAGGGTAATCTAACCCAATAGCCTCACTTTACAGACAAGGAAACTGAGACCTGGGGAGGTCATGCAACTAACCCAAGATCCCTCAGGTAGTTGGTGACAGAGCTGGGGGTAAAACACAATTCTCTCGACTTTTAATCTAGTAGTTTGTTCACTATACTATAATGCTGTTTTTTGCACATTTGATGTAGATACACCTGGAAAAGTCTAGTGCTCAGTTGGCTATATGTGTCTGAAGCTCAGAAGAGAGCCATGGACTGAAAAAATAGATTTAGAAGTTGTCAGCATGTGGTGTAATTACCTCATGCTCTCTTGGTTTGATTTCTAGACCTCTGACTTCTCCTTTTGTATTCATCCATCCATCCCTCCATCACTCAAGAGATATTTATTGAACACGTACTATATATATCAGATACTTTTCTCAGTGCTGGGGATATATCAGTGAACAAAACAGACAAAACTTCCTGCTTTTGTGGAGTTTACATTCTATAAATTGCATAGTTAGTTAAAAGGTAATAAGTATTAAGTGAAAAATAGAGAGGGTAAGTAGGGCTGGGAGTGCGGCAGGGAGGGCTGAACTTTTAAATAGGTTGTCAGGGTTACTGAAGAGGAGACATTTGAGCAAAGACTTGAAGGAGGGAGGTGAGTTAGCCATGCAGATATTTAGGAGAAGAGTATTCTAGGCAGAGGAAAGAGCCAATACAAATGCCCTATGATGGAAGAGTGCCTGGTGTGTTCACAGAACAGCATGGAGGTCAGTGTAACAGGAACAATGTGTGATGGAAAGGAGAGTGGTAAGAGACAAAGTCAAAGAGATAATGTGAGAGAGGGAGGACCTTCTTTGCCATTAAAGGTCTTTCTGTGCCATTCAAGACAGGAATAAAGACGCAGACCTACTAGAGAATGGACTTGTGGATACGAGGAGAGGGAAGGGTAAGCTGGGACAAAGTGAGAAAGTGGCATGGACATATATACACTACCAAATGTGAAATAGATAGCTAGTGGGAAGCAGCCGCATAGCACAGGGAGATCAGCTCGGTGCTTTGTGACCACCTAGAAGGGTGGGATAGGGAGGGTGGGAGGGAGGGAGATGCAAGAGGGAAGAGATATGGGGATATATGTATATATATAACTGATTCACTTTGTTATAAAGCAGAAACTAACACACCATTGTAAAGCAATTATACTCCAATAAAGATGTTTAAAAAAAAAGTCTTTCTGTGCCATTAAACAGACTTTGGCCTTTATTTTGAGTAAAACAGGGAGCCATTAAAGGGTTTTGAATAGAGGAGGGACATAGTCTGACTTAGGTTTTAAAAAGGATCACTCTGCCTGCTCTCTTGAGAATACATTGTAGGGGGCAAGGGTGAAAGAGGAAGACCAATTAGAAGGCTATTGCAATAGTTCAGAAAATGTATTATGGGGGCATAAACTGGGTCATAGCAGTAATTATCATGAAAATAGTAGAATTCTAGTTATATATTTTAAGGTAGACCTGACAGAGTTTTCTAACAGATTAAATATGGCGTGTGAGGGAAAGAGAGTAGGTAAGGATTACCCTTAAGTTTTGGCTGAGTAATTGAAAGGATGCAGTTGCCATTATCTGAGATGGAGAAGGATACTAGTGGAGAAGGTTTGGGGGTAAATATTAGGGGTTTTGTTCTGAACATATTAAACTTGAGATGTCTCTTTGACAGGTAAGTGGAGATATCAAATAAGCAGTAGGATATGAGTTTGGGGTTCAGAGACAAGCTCTGAGCTAAATATATAATTTAGAGTATCACTGGCATACTTTTTTTCAGCCATGAGATTGGATGAGCATATCAACGGTATGAGTACAGAGAAGAGGTCCAAGGATTGAGTCATGGGGCTCTCCAATGGTAAGAAGTCAGCGAGAACAGAAGGTTATCAGCAAAGGAGACTGAGAAGGAATGACCAGTGTGAGAAGGAAAACCAATAGTGTGGTATCCTGGAAGCCAAGTGAAAAAGTATATCAGTGAGTAAGGAGTAATCAACTGTGTCATACATGGCTGTTAGGTCAGTTACGAAGAGAAGTGAGAATTGACCACTGGATTTAGTATTGTGAGGTCATTAGTGTTCTTTTTTTTTTTAAAGGTATGAGAAAGTTTATAGCAACTAGTAACATAAAATAAATACATATTATAATGTGGTATCATTATTGTCTATCAATTTATCAAATATTTTAAAAGCATATTATGTAAATATAATTGTCATGGTCCTTATAAAAGACTGGTTTCCAGGTATGAATGAGAATACTTGTCTAACTAACTTTATTAGTGCTATAGACATTAGTGTTCTTAAGCAAGCATTTTGATAGAGGGGTGGGGCAAAAGCCCAAATGAAGAAGATTTAGGAGAGAAGAGGAGAAGAACTGGAAACAGTAAAGATTAAGTGCTTTAAGGACTTTTGCTGCTAAGGGGTGTATAGAAATGCAAATTCCCCTTTCTCTCTTAAATTTTGAAATGTTAGAATTCCTTAGGGTGCCCTGCTTGGTCATCCTCCTTCTTGATCTATATAATCTCTCTGGTGGTCATTCTAACACCTTCAAATGACCTAATGTTTCAAGAAGGACGAAGGGGTCACTAGTTCTAAATATAGTAGAGAAATAAAGTAATTTAAGGACTAAAAAGTATCCATTGGGATTTAGCCCCTAATACTTTATTGGAAATGCATTAGAACGATGAAAGATTAACTACCGTTTTAATTTCAGTACCTTCCACATGGAAGTGTTTGGGAGACGGCAAGCTTGGAGTTGGGCTGGAGAGGTGACAAGGACCTGGATGAAATGTTAGGTGGGAGAAAGGGGAAGGAATTGATGGTAAAGATACTTTCTAATGAAGAAACAAGACAAAAGCAGATCAGATGGGTGCATAAAGAGACTGTGAGAGTCCCTAAATCACATGACCTTATTGCTGAGAGGCCACTGAGTGCAAGCAAATATACCAGAGACAGGCAGGAGTAAGTACTGGGGTTTATAATCAAGGCTTCATCAGACACAGTTGGTGGGCTCTGGAGAAGATAAGTCAACATACCAAATTCCTACTCTTCCCATAGCACTTGCTCTTTCCATTCACCTTTACAAAGTCTTGGGGCTGTTAACAAAAATGGCACTTTTGCCACGCTCTCAGCAGAGAACTAAGGGAGGCTTATCCGTTAGTGTTTTCCCCACCCAAATAACCTGAGCCCCCTTTCAACAAAATTCAAGTTCTAAAAAGGAACTAGAACACTAGTTTACTTTAAGCTGTGTCAGGAGTCTTATATTTTGAATTCAATTCCAAAGCCAGTTTCCTTCCCAGAAGCCACCACTTTACAGGCACTAATTGCCCTGACAGCATTCTTAACACAAAAACAAATAACCAAGGGACTGAGACACCAAAACATTGTGACTTGTGTGGAGAGAAAGCAGAATATTACTTGGATTTGGAGGGAAGAGTGTGCAGCTTTTACAGTGTATGATCTCTTTTACTACTGGCATATCTGGTGGAATTGGAGGAGGTACTATTCCCAGGCCAGGCATCATTGGAGTTATTGGTGGAATTCCAGTCATCATTCCAAGAGCAGGATCAAAGTCTTAAAAAGGAGAGGAAAGAGAGAACAATAAATTACACCAGGCAAGATCAAGTAGAGGCAGAATGCTACCTTATAAGCTTCAAACCAAAGGTCTTTCTAAGACAGAGACAAAATATTTAAGAAAACATGTTATTAGCATTACCAGGTCTTAAATATCGTAATTTTGCATTTTTGTTTTGGGCTAGGCCTGTTTGTTTTTGTTTGCCCAGTGCCTGTTTGTCTCTACCTCTCATTTTGACATCCAAGGCCCTTTGTAATATGACCGCGCCTTGTCCATTGATCTTTCCTTCCACTACTTTCCAACACACACCCTCTGCTCCATTCAGACAAGGCTTCTTGCTGTCCCTTGTAACACTTCCTGTCTTTTTGCAGTATAGCGTGGTGTTAAGAGCATACAGTTTTGGGGTTCAGGAAGACCTGGGTCCTAGTTCTACCATTTGATTAGCAGGATGAATCTTTTGAACCTCCGTTTCGTCATTTGCAAACCGGGGTTAATTCCGCCTACTTTTATAGGGAGCTATGAGGAATAAACAAAATGATGAATGAAATGTGCCTAGCATAATGCATAGCACAAAAATGCTCAATAAATAACTATTTTCTGTGCCTTTGTTCCTGTTGTTCTCCCTGCCTGCCTGGAGTCATTCAAGCCTCCCCAAATTCTCCCCATGCTTCAAGGCCTGGCTTAAAGTCCCACCTTTCCAGATAATACTGGTTCATTCTTATCTCTTTATCTAAAAACTGTTCTACACCCGTAGCCACGGAATTTTATTTTGCATCATCTTTTGTTTCATTCAGGGGTGCTTCTAGATGTGTGGGAGCTCCCCAAACATATTTTGTGGGGCTTGTCTAGATACACAATTGATTCACCACAAATCAGCATCAATACTATTCTGGTAGCCCATTCGATACCATGAAAGAAATACCATACCATATAGCCGGAGTGATTTACTTGCCAGGATACTCTCCTGGAACCAAGACTCTGGGACGACTCCACAGGCACAGTTCTGAAGCTTCTTGGGGGCATTTACTTGAGTCTACATGTCGGGTAAAGGATTGAAGAGTGCCTCAAAGGGAGAAATGGGGACTGAGGTCCACATAGGTTCAATTTGAGATTGGGGCTCCTTGCTTAGATGACACTGCAGGCCTTTGTGAATCCCAGGCACTGGAGGGGAACCTAGAAAATGTTGAGAAAGCTGCTTCTTGCCATCAAGACCCACAGAGGAGCTGCTCTGGACTTGGGGCACCTACCCCAATGGCACTATCTACCTGGCCAGTCCTCAGCTCTGGAGAGGGACTTAGAAAATATCTGGACAGTCATTCCAAAGCTCGGGGTCCCCTGATGTGAGGGCCCACGGCAGGGGCCCCGCTTACCTGGGTCTAAAGGCGGTACTGATTTCATTGTTTAAATTTTGTCTCTATAACAAAATGCATGTTCTTTGAGAGAACCTCTCACCCCTGCCCTCTGTTATAGAATGCACAGTGTATTGCAAACAAAGAAAATATTGCATAAGGAGTTCTGATAATGTAGGGGTAGTCATGGTAGCAGTAGCAGGTCCTACTCCCCCAGACTTTACCCTGCTCACCACTCAGGCCCAAGGGACAGTGCCTTTAAGTATGTCCTCAAGGTGGCTCTGACCCCCCTGGGTGGTTCTCTAAGATGTTGAAGGAGGTGTATCTAAACAGTGGGAAGAACCTGTGGTTCATACAGAAGCAGGACTTCAAGTATGATAGGCCCAGAAGGAGGGAGTCTTGTGACTGGGCAGATAGGCAGGTGGGTGGCCCATAAGCACCTCCCATTGCAAGCCAGTCCAAGAGAGCTAGGGCATTCCGCATCCTCCCACATGCCTGTCATGCTGAGATGCCAAAACCTTGAACATGTTTAGGAAGAAAGAATTTTCTTCTAAGAGGAAATTTTATTTTTCTGAAAACAAATTTACTTTTAGCCCTCATATGTTATCTCACCCAACATGCAAGTATTCACACATGCCTGTGCGTGCACACACACACACACACACTCCTTGCCTTCCTCCCTGTGACTCTCATCTCTCTACTCTCCTCCACATGCTAGTTTTATGACCTTGAGGGATGTTTCTTAATATCTGTGTGCCTCCATCTCCTTTTTGGTAAAAGTAGGGATAAATAATGACATTTAGCTCAAAGGATGAAAGGACAGAACAGATATGAAAACCTCTGGCATGATACATGGTGGTCCTGATAGGTAAGTTTCCTTCCTTCCATTCAAAACATGCGTCCACACACTAATATATTCACTTATTCAGGCATTCACTTCCACATCCCACAAACATTTGTGATAGCTTCCTATATGTCAGGCTCTGTGCAGGGGGACAGGGTGTCCAGGTCTTTTTTTCCATCTTGGAGAACTTAGGAGCCCTGACACTCTGTGTTCCTATGCTGTAGAATGAGAGCACTGTGGTTAAGAATGCCATTTATGTCTTTGGAAAATTTGATTCCTTGTGTATAAGATTTTGGAAAAATTGTTAACATTATCTCCCCCATTTACAAACTGTTAATTTTCAGTAGGAAAAGATCAGATTAGATTGTGTGCCAACTAAACAATCCCATCTATTTCCCCCCCCACTGAAATGTTTGTCTTCCTTTTATTGTTCTGCCTGCCTCCTCATTGTTATTCATATAGTTCTGTCACTCACAACTCTACCTTACCACAGATTACAGAAACATCAGTTCATTAAACAAGTTCTGCCACTTCGACTGAGAAAGAAATGCCTGCCTCCATGTACTGTCTACTAATAAATGGAGACAAACAAAAAACAAATACACAGGATAAATATAACTCCTGACTGATGTACTCACCACTGTGCTGTTTGGTATGATTACATTAATATTTTATGAAATTCATTTAAAAGCAAGTGTATTCATGACATATGGCTAAAGCCAGAGTAGATAAACTCCCTTTCTTCTTTGCATTCAATATGCCAAGAGTTCCATAGGCTACACTGCCTAGCAGGGCTTGCTAGAGGGCAGGATGTACATTGTACATGACATTTCAAGGGCTCCTATCACATTGATTATTTCTTTTGTTTATCTTCAACCATTAAAACCAAAGTAGACTTGAATTTCCAATACCAACCAAGAAAATAACCATTTGAAATCATGGGCCTTATACAAGTATTGCAGAATCTGAAAAAAATCAAAGAAGTCCAACACTAAAATACACTGGGAATAGAACACCAGAGAAATTCTCTCCCTTTTTCAGGCCCTATTCTGGCTTGAAGAGTACAGCCAACATGTACATAGTATTACCACTTATGTTAGGAATTTAAACTTCTGAAGGAGATTTGAAATCATTTTATAAAAGGGTTGTTGAGGGACTTCACTGGTGGCCCAGTGGGTAAGACTCCATGCTCCCAATGCAGGGGGCCAGGGTTTGATCCCTGGTTGGGGAACTAGAGCCCACATGCACGCTGCGACTAAGAAGTCCACATGCCGCAACTAAGAGATTGCATGCTGCAACTAAGAAGTCCGCATGCCGCAACTAAAAAAAAAGATCCGGGGCTTCCCTGGTGGCGCAGTGGTTGAGGGTCCGCCTGCCGATGCAGGGGACGCGGGTTCGTGCACCGGTCCGGGAGGATCCCACATGCCGCGGAGCGGCTGGGCCCGTTGAGCCATGGCCGCTGAGCCTGCACGTCCGGAGCCTGTGCTCCGGCAACGGGAGAGGCCACAACAGTGAGAGGCCCGTGTACCGCAAAAAAAAAAAAAAAGGTCCTAAATAAATAGATAAATACATAAATAAATAAATAAATAACAAAAAGAAAAGATCCTAAATAAATACATAAATACATAAATATATATATAAAAAACAAAAAAGATCCTAAATAAAGGGATAAATACATAAATATATATATATTATTATTATTATTATTTTTGCGGTACATGGGCCTCTCACTGTTGTGGCCTCTCCCGCTGCCGGAGCACAGGCTCCGGACGCGCAGGCTCAGCGGCCATGGCTCACGGGCCCAGCCGCTCCGCGGCATGTGGGATCCTCCCGGACCGGGGCACGAACCCGCATCCCCTGCATCGGCAGGCGGACTCTCAACCACTGCGCCGCCAGGGAAGCCCCAGTAAATAAATATTTTTAAAAAGGGTTGTGGAAAAGGCCAGGGTATTCCCCTAAAGTCATTTCACAATAAATATCCTGTTCTGTTTTGCTTTTACCACCATCTCTTCTTCTAACGCCTTTTCCCTACTGCCTTCTTTACTCTTGGCACTGCCATTGATGGAAATGTCATAAGATGTTGGTTTGTATTCCGTCTTTTGATTCACGTACATTCCAAACTCCCAGCTTACTGGAAATGCTGCAAATGCTGTTTTTCAGTTGCGCCACCTTGCTCCTCTGAGTTGCAGCTCTATTACATCTCTATTATATGATTTTAAGTAATGTTTCAGTGTAGCCTTAAGTCTTCCTGCTGCCTAGCAACTTGCACTTAACTCAACATAGAGTAGTTATCTAGCAATATTATCATCCTCCATTCTCTGTATACATCTGAGCCAGGGAGCTACAATGGAGGAAAATGTCATTTGTCCAGTCATCCATATGTCTAACCATTTGTATGTCCTTCCGTATTTTGATGCCAGCCCCTCTGCAGGTGTTGGGGTTGAAGGAATAAGATAAAATCCTCGACTTCAGAGTACAGTTTGGGAACAGCCATGCAAACAATTATAATGCTTTATCATCAATTATTATTATCATCACTATAATTGTTTATTGGGTGCTTCCATTGTGCTAGGGACTGTGCTTAAGCATTTTATATAATCTCATTCCAAAAGACCAGTGGGCTAGGTACTGTTATTATCCTTCATTTTATAGATAAAGAAACTGGGGCTCAGAAGGGTTTAGTTACTTGCCCAAGATTCCACAGCCAATAACCTAGGCAAGACCTAGGATTCAAATCCAGGTTAGTTTAACTCTAATGCTTTTAACCACTGCACTGCCTGTCAATGTAGTATGGCAATTGTTTTAA